CAACAGATGCCCCAGTCTTGGCGACACCGACCGGGTGCAGCCGAGGGCATGACAAAGATCCTCAACATGAGGAGAGGAAAGTCAAGCAACGTCGCGATGGTGTCAGCTGGGGCAGGGGCACCCCTACTCCGCCTACAACATCGACACTTACTCCAACAACAAAGATGCCACCTACAACATCAACGCCGACGCCGACGTCTCCTCCACCAGCAGCGCCAACTGCTCCAAAATGGCGTGAAAAGGCCCGAGATTGGGAAAACAGACTTGTCTGAGTCACCAACTCCCTGGTTGCCTCCCCCCACATTGCCTTTGTTGTGAGTGAGGCAATTCTTTTCAATGCCGACATGGCCATGCATTGGGGGCATATGAGCAACTAACTTTTTTGCTCCATCATATAGAACTCCTTGGTGGTAAGTTTTTACACTTGCTATTTTTCCCGTCTTTTTGGTTGTAGACTTTCGTCAACATAAATTTTTTCTTTCTTGGCTTAATAGGCTGCCCAGTAGATTTCGGTCATTGTCGAGTGCTTCCATGCCAATAGGGAGAGGATCCAAGAGAGCAATAGGCTCCAGGCTGAGCTGGAAGCGGCCCAAGGAGCTCTGGCCTCGGCGAAGGAGGATGTGGTTGCTCGGGATAGAACTCTATCCTCCTAGGCAACCCAAACTTCTGAGCTCCTCAAGGAAATCGAGGCTGCGAAGGGGAATGCTGAAAAAGCTAAGGCTTCCCTCACTGACACTAAGAAAAGGATCACCGAGGCGACAAAGCAGTTGTCATCGGTGGAGGCGAAGGTGCAGGAGTCAAAGCAGACTTATGCAACTCTAACCCAGGAGATGGACAAGTTAAGTGTTGAGCTAGAAGCCAATCTGAAGATGGAATAAGAGATCGTCAATCGTTGTGCAGATGACATCCTAGTGACCCTAGAGGAAAACAAGAAGGAATACTTCAAGGTTGGCTGGGATGAGGCACTTCTGGCTACGGGGGGTCCTTGCCGACTCTACTCTCTTCAAGGAGCAAGAGTACATTCCTTCCAAGGAAATATTGCAAGCCTCTGCTGAAGCTAAAGTTGGAAATGCTGGAAATCCCTAAGTGTCGAGATCGGCACCAACTACAGAGACGGCGGCCTCGGTTCCTGTCGACGTCGTTTCTCTCTAGACTCTTCCTCCTGCTCCTGTCCCTACTTCAGACTTTGTGCCTGCTCCTTAGGTTGATGCTCTTGTTGCTCCTATTGATGTTGCACCTACGTCTTGTAGCATTGACTCCTTCTCTACCAGTATTGATGAACTCTTCGGAAACATCGGAGGAGGTATCGACGGCTAGGTAATCAGGGCCCTTGGAGCTCAGATTTTTCCTTTCGTTGTATTTTTGTTTCCATTTTTGTACCTTGAGGAACATAAAGCCCTCGTTTCTTTTAATGAAAAAGTCTCTTTTGTTTCCCAAGTGTTTTCTGCTTGTTTTTACTTTCTCTTTGCTTTTATTTTTTCTAAGTGTAGTTCCTTGGGGGGAAGGGTCCCCCCTTGGCTTCATATTCCCCCTCTTGGCCGAGGTGATGTGTCTAGAACAGATCTTGGGGGAATATTGGCACCGAGAACACATGTCACTTGCAAAAAGACTCTAAGGGAACTCATGCCGAGGTCAAGGCCCTTTCTTTGGCCTTATCTTTCTTGAGAAAAAATTTTCAAATGTCCTCTCAGGAAATTTAGGTCCTTTTGGGGCAAGTTTGTCTTTTATGTTTTCTAAGGCATTGCCCTCTGGGGCCATCCCACCATCCAGGAGGCCATGCTTCTTTCATTCCTTTGGAGACGAGAGTCTTAAGACTCTGATCCTGGGGCCATGCCCCTTCTATGAGGCATGGTCATGTTTCTATTTGGAGGCAAGAGTCTTAAGACTTCGTCTCCAGGGTCATGCCCCTCACAGGAGGCATGCTTCTGTTTTTCTTTGGATGCAAGAGTCTTAAGACTCTGCCTCTAGGACCATACCCCCTCCAAAAGGCATGCTCCTATTTTTCTTTGGATGCAAGAGTCTTAAGACTCTACCTCCGGGGCCATACCCCTTCTTGGAGGCATGCCCCTATTTTTCTTTGGAGGCAAGAGTCTTAAGACTCCGACTCTGGGCTCATGCCCTTTTCAAGACAATATATTTAGCACAAAAATGAGCCTTTATTTCTCAAAAATAATACTTCTTCACATTCAGTACATTCTAAGGTCGAATTACTGTATTTTTTTCCATGTCTTCTGACTTGTATGACCTGGATCCTCCTACCGATGTGACTCTATACAATCCTTCCTAATTAGGCCCAATCTTTCCATCGGCAGGGTCTCGGGTGTTTACAACTACTTTTCTAAGTACCAAGTTGCCNTTTGTGCCTGCTCCTTAGGTTGATGCTCTTGTTGCTCCTATTGATGTTGCACCTACGTCTTGTAGCATTGACTCCTTCTCTACCAGTATTGATGAACTCTTCGGAAACATCGGAGGAGGTATCGACGGCTAGGTAATCAGGGCCCTTGGAGCTCAGATTTTTCCTTTCGTTGTATTTTTGTTTCCATTTTTGTACCCTGAGGAACATAAAGCCCTCGTTTCTTTTAATGAAAAAGTCTGTTTTGTTTCCCAAGTGTTTTCTGCTTGTTTTTACTTTCTCTTTGCTTTTATTTTTTCTAAGTGTAGTTCCTTGGGGGGAAGGGTCCCCCCTTGGCTTCATATTCCCCCTCTTGGCCGAGGTGATGTGTCTAGAACAGATCTTGGGGGAATATTGGCACCGAGAACACATGTCACTTGCAAAAAGACTCTAAGGGAACTCATGCCGAGGTCAAGGCCCTTTCTTTGGCCTTATCTTTCTTGAGAAAAAATTTTCAAATGTCCTCTCAGGAAATTTAGGTCCTTTTGGGGCAAGTTTGTCTTTTATGTTTTCTAAGGCATTGCCCTCCGGGGCCATCCCACCATCCAGGAGGCCATGCTTCTTTCATTCCTTTGGAGACGAGAGTCTTAAGACTCTGATCCTGGGGCCATGCCCCTTCTATGAGGCATGGTCATGTTTCTATTTGGAGGCAAGAGTCTTAAGACTTCGTCTCCAGGGTCATGCCCCTCACAGGAGGCATGCTTCTGTTTTTCTTTGGATGCAAGAGTCTTAAGACTCTGCCTCTAGGACCATACCCCCTCCAAAAGGCATGCTCCTATTTTTCTTTGGATGCAAGAGTCTTAAGACTCTACCTCCGGGGCCGTNCCACATTGCCTTTGTTGTGAGTGAGGCAATTCTTTTCAATGCCGACATGGCCATGCATTGGGGGCATATNCATCTCCCCAACTCGAACAAAAGGTTCAAGGATGACCTACTGGTCTTCAATAGTGCATGGGAGGGAGGAATCGGCCCCGAGTACAAGGGTTTGTGGTGCCCCAAGCAGTGGCAAACAACAAGTACATCGACTTCTCTCTCTCTTCTCAGCCTTCATCATTTTGGTATGTTCTTCCTTTGTCCTAATAATAACTTGTTTTTTGCAAGAGTCTCTGACGCTGAGCTACTCCCCCTTCTCGGCATCTTGTCAACCTTGCTAACCTCATCATAGTCTAGGGGTACATGGGCAACGGATTTGCCTGAACTGCCCATATTCTACTAGACTACAGGCCAGGATATAATAAGTTTTCCTAGACTCCTTAGACAGTTGATTCTACAAGGTGGGAAGCTTTGACCGACGAGAACTTAGAGGAGAACCCCGACAAAGCCACTGAAGCCATGGTAGAAACTGTCAAGAACACAGGCGCCGAGGCAGAGGCCTGTAAAGAAGTAGCCGATGAGGTTGTAGAAATCAGGGATCCCCCCACCACTATCCATGCCGAGACTAGTACTTTAGGCAGGGAAGCTTGGCCAGACTTCGACGTCTTTCAGAACTTAAATGAAGAAGACTCCTTCGAAGTCGCCACATCGAACCAACCTCGCATCAACCTCAGCATGATAAGGGAAAGATCGGCTCTTGTTGTTGCACGGGGCCGAGCTACCCCCAACATTCCTCTAAACCAAGGGCATACTCCCCTTGATCCTCCTTCTCCACCTACAACAGATGCCCCAGTCTTGGCGACACCGACCGGGTGCAGCCGAGGGCATGACAAAGATCCTCAACATGAGGAGAGGAAAGTCAAGCAACGTCGCGATGGTGTCAGCTGGGGCAGGGGCACCCCTACTCCGCCTACAACATCGACACTTACTCCAACAACAAAGATGCCACCTACAACATCAACGCCGACGCCGACGTCTCCTCCACCAGCAGCGCCAACTGCTCCAAAATGGCGTGAAAAGGCCCGAGATTGGGAAAACAGACTTGTCTGAGTCACCAACTCCCTGGTTGCCTCCCCCCACATTGCCTTTGTTGTGAGTGAGGCAATTCTTTTCAATGCCGACATGGCCATGCATTGGGGGCATATGAGCAACTAACTTTTTTGCTCCATCATATAGAACTCCTTGGTGGTAAGTTTTTACACTTGCTATTTTTCCCGTCTTTTTGGTTGTAGACTTTCGTCAACATAAATTTTTTCTTTCTTGGCTTAATAGGCTGCCCAGTAGATTTCGGTCATTGTCGAGTGCTTCCATGCCAATAGGGAGAGGATCCAAGAGAGCAATAGGCTCCAGGCTGAGCTGGAAGCGGCCCAAGGAGCTCTGGCCTCGGCGAAGGAGGATGTGGTTGCTCGGGATAGAACTCTATCCTCCTAGGCAACCCAAACTTCTGAGCTCCTCAAGGAAATCGAGGCTGCGAAGGGGAATGCTGAAAAAGCTAAGGCTTCCCTCACTGACACTAAGAAAAGGATCACCGAGGCGACAAAGCAGTTGTCATCGGTGGAGGCGAAGGTGCAGGAGTCAAAGCAGACTTATGCAACTCTAACCCAGGAGATGGACAAGTTAAGTGTTGAGCTAGAAGCCAATCTGAAGATGGAATAAGAGATCGTCAATCGTTGTGCAGATGACATCCTAGTGACCCTAGAGGAAAACAAGAAGGAATACTTCAAGGTTGGCTGGGATGAGGCACTTCTGGCTACGGGGGGTCCTTGCCGACTCTACTCTCTTCAAGGAGCAAGAGTACATTCCTTCCAAGGAAATATTGCAAGCCTCTGCTGAAGCTAAAGTTGGAAATGCTGGAAATCCCTTAGTGTCGAGATCGGCACCAACTACAGAGACGGCGGCCTCGGTTCCTGTCGACGTCGTTTCTCTCTAGACTCTTCCTCCTGCTCCTGTCCCTACTTCAGACTTTGTGCCTGCTCCTTAGGTTGATGCTCTTGTTGCTCCTATTGATGTTGCACCTACGTCTTGTAGCATTGACTCCTTCTCTACCAGTATTGATGAACTCTTCGGAAACATCGGAGGAGGTATCGACGGCTAGGTAATCAGGGCCCTTGGAGCTCAGATTTTTCCTTTCGTTGTATTTTTGTTTCCATTTTTGTACCCTGAGGAACATAAAGCCCTCGTTTCTTTTAATGAAAAAGTCTCTTTTGTTTCCCAAGTGTTTTCTGCTTGTTTTTACTTTCTCTTTGCTTTTATTTTTTCTAAGTGTAGTTCCTTGGGGGGAAGGGTCCCCCCTTGGCTTCATATTCCCCCTCTTGGCCGAGGTGATGTGTCTAGAACAGATCTTGGGGGAATATTGGCACCGAGAACACATGTCACTTGCAAAAAGACTCTAAGGGAACTCATGCCGAGGTCAAGGCCCTTTCTTTGGCCTTATCTTTCTTGAGAAAAAATTTTCAAATGTCCTCTCAGGAAATTTAGGTCCTTTTGGGGCAAGTTTGTCTTTTATGTTTTCTAAGGCATTGCCCTCTGGGGCCATCCCACCATCCAGGAGGCCATGCTTCTTTCATTCCTTTGGAGACGAGAGTCTTAAGACTCTGATCCTGGGGCCATGCCCCTTCTATGAGGCATGGTCATGTTTCTATTTGGAGGCAAAAGTCTTAAGACTTCGTCTCCAGGGTCATGCCCCTCACAGGAGGCATGCTTCTGTTTTTCTTTGGATGCAAGAGTCTTAAGACTCTGCCTCTAGGACCATACCCCCTCCAAAAGGCATGCTCCTATTTTTCTTTGGATGCAAGAGTCTTAAGACTCTACCTCCGGGGCCGTACCCCTTCTTGGAGGCATGCTCCTATTTTTCTTTGGAGGCAAGAGTCTTAAGACTCCGACTCTGGGCTCATGCCCCTTTCAAGACAATATATTTAGCACAAAAATGAGCCTTTATTTCTCAAAAATAATACTTNATGAGCAACTAACTTTTTTGCTCCATCATATAGAACTCCTTGGTGCTAAGTTTTTACACTTGCTATTTTTCCCGTCTTTTTGGTTGTAGACTTTCGTCAACATAAATTTTTTCTTTCTTGGCTTAATAGGCTGCCCAGTAGATTTCGGTCATTGTCGAGTGCTTCCATGCCAATAGGGAGAGGATCCAAGAGAGCAATAGGCTCCAGGCTGAGCTGGAAGCGACCCNCTGTATTTTCTTCCATGTCTTCTGACTTGTATGACCTGGATCCTCCTACCGATGTGACTCTATACAATCCTTCCTAATTAGGCCCAATCTTTCCATCGGCAGGGTCTCGGGTGTTTACAACTACTTTTCTAAGTACCAAGTTGCCCACTTGGAATCCTCGAGGCTTGAATCGTTGTTGTAGAGTCTGGATACCCCTTCTTGATACTTTGCTAGTCTCAAGGCAGTCATCNACCCAAGGAGCTCTGGCCTCGGCGAAGGAGGATGTGGTTGCTCGGGATAGAACTCTATCCTCCTAGGCAACCCAAACTTCTGAGCTCCTCAAGGAAATCGAGGCTGCGAAGGGGAATGCTGAAAAAGCTAAGGCTTCCCTCACTGACACTAAGAAAAGGATCACCGAGGCGACAAAGCAGTTGTCATCGGTGGAGGCGAAGGTGCAGGAGTCAAAGCAGACTTATGCAACTCTAACCCAGGAGATGGACAAGTTAAGTGTTGAGCTAGAAGCCAATCTGAAGATGGAATAAGAGATCATCAATCGTTGTACAGATGACATCCTAGTGACCCTAGAGGAAAACAAGAAGGAATACTTCAAGGTTGGCTGGGATGAGGCACTTCTGGCTACGGGGGGTCCTTGCCGACTCTACTCTCTTCAAGGAGCAAGAGTACATTCCTTCCAAGGAAATATTGCAAGCCTCTGCTGAAGCTAAAGTTGGAAATGCTGGAAATCCCTTAGTGTCGAGATCGGCACCAACTACAGAGACGGCGGCCTCGGTTCCTGTCGACGTCGTTTCTCTCTAGACTCTTCCTCCTGCTCCTGTCCCTACTTCAGACTTTGTGCCTGCTCCTTAGGTTGATGCTCTTGTTGCTCCTATTGATGTTGCACCTACGTCTTGTAGCATTGACTCCTTCTCTACCAGTATTGATGAACTCTTCGGAAACATCGGAGGAGGTATCGACGGCTAGGTAATCAGGGCCCTTGGAGCTCAGATTTTTCCTTTCGTTGTATTTTTGTTTCCATTTTTGTACCCTGAGGAACATAAAGCCCTCGTTTCTTTTAATGAAAAAGTCTGTTTTGTTTCCCAAGTGTTTTCTGCTTGTTTTTACTTTCTCTTTGCTTTTATTTTTTCTAAGTGTAGTTCCTTGGGGGGAAGGGTCCCCCCTTGGCTTCATATTCCCCCTCTTGGCCGAGGTGATGTGTCTAGAACAGATCTTGGGGGAATATTGGCACCGAGAACACATGTCACTTGCAAAAAGACTCTAAGGGAACTCATGCCGAGGTCAAGGCCCTTTCTTTGGCCTTATCTTTCTTGAGAAAAAATTTTCAAATGTCCTCTCAGGAAATTTAGGTCCTTTTGGGGCAAGTTTGTCTTTTATGTTTTCTAAGGCATTGCCCTCTGGGGCCATCCCACCATCCAGGAGGCCATGCTTCTTTCATTCCTTTGGAGACGAGAGTCTTAAGACTCTGATCCTGGGGCCATGCCCCTTCTATGAGGCATGGTCATGTTTCTATTTGGAGGCAAGAGTCTTAAGACTTCGTCTCCAGGGTCATGCCCCTCACAGGAGGCATGCTTCTGTTTTTCTTTGGATGCAAGAGTCTTAAGACTCTGCCTCTAGGACCATACCCCCTCCAAAAGGCATGCTCCTATTTTTCTTTGGATGCAAGAGTCTTAAGACTCTACCTCCGGGGCCGTACCCCTTCTTGGAGGCATGCCCCTATTTTTCTTTGGAGGCAAGAGTCTTAAGACTCCGACTCTGGGCTCATGCCCCTTTCAAGACAATATATTTAGCACAAAAATGAGCCTTTATTTCTCAAAAATAATACTTCTTCACATTCAGTACATTCTAAGGTCGAATTATTGTATTTTTTTCCATGTCTTCTGACTTGTATGACCTGGATCCTCCTACCGATGTGACTCTATACGATCCTTCCTAATTAGGCCCAATCTTTCCATCGGCAGGGTCTCGGGTGTTTACAACTACTTTTCTAAGTACCAGGTTGCCCACTTGGAATCCTCGAGGCTTGAATCTTTGTTGTAGAGTCTGGATACCCCTTCTTGATACTTTGCTAGTCTCAAGGCAGTCATCTCCCTTCTTTATTTCATGACGTCCATATCCACGTTGAGTTGATGATCGTTGTCTCTAGTGTCAAAGGCCTGCATCCATATGGTAGGGAGGCCTACTCTGAGTGGGATTATTGCCTCTACTCTATATGTGAAGGCGTAAGGTGTTTTGCACATTGAGGTCCACGGAGTCGTCCTGTAGGCCCAAAGGACGTTTAGGGGTTCATCCACCCATTTCCCTTTAGCTTTCTTCAGCCTGTTCTTAATTCCGTTGACAATGGTCTTATTTGAAGATTTCTCCTGACCGTTGGCCTGTGGATAGGAGGGCGTTGAGTAGTAGTTTCGGATTCTAAGATGCTCACAAAAGGACAAGAAGGGTCCACTGTTGAACAGGGTCTCGTTGTTTGACACAAGTGCACAGGGGACTCCAAATCTTATCAATACGTTCCTCCACACAAACTTTTTGGTGTCCACGTCCCTAATATGAGTGGCTCCGACTCAACTCACTTTGTGAAATAATCAGTCCCTACTATCAAGAATTTCTTGTCTCCAGAGGCCCTTGGGAGGGGTCCAACCAAATCAAGTCCCCATTGGACAAATAGCCAAAGACTAGTGAGTGGGTGTAGGTCTCCTACCGGTTGTTTGATGGTGAGAGCGAATCTTTGACATTAATAGCACTTCTGGACATAAGCTTGCACATCCCTCTACATTTACGACCGCCAAAATCCCTATGACATGAATAGGTGGGCCATTGACCGTCCGCCCGTGTGTCGCCCCCCCCCCCAACATATTCCTTTGTGCACTTCATATAGGAAGGGTTCCACTTTATCCTCATTGACACAAAATAGATAAGGTTCAGAGAACGACTTCCGGTACAACTTCTGGTCCAGGGAGGCCCAAAATCTCGGGGCCCTTAGCTTTATCTTCCTAGCTCCTTTAGGACATTTGGAGAGTTCCCCAAAAACAAGGAACCTAAGTAATGGATCAATCCAGCTAGAGGACTCCTTCCCCTCTTGGATGGCTGCCACTCTAGGGACGTCATCTATACTGGAGTTAGGAAAGAATTTCACAGTGATCATTAGTGTTATATTGGAGTCTAACGCTGAGACCAAACATGCCAAGGCATTGGCATGGGAGTTCTTATCTCGGGGAACTTGCTTGATCTCCACCTTCTTGAACTTGTGGAGCAAGAACATGGCTTTGTGGTGATAGGCTTTCATTCTTGGATACCTTGCTTTAAATTCTCCATTGATCTGGTTGACCACCAATAAAGAATCACATTGGACCGTTAACTCCATGGCCCTTACTGCAGCGGCTAGTTTGAGTCCAGAGATAAGTGCTTCATACTTTGCTTCGTTGTTGAATGCCTTGAAGCCCAGTCGTACGGCTTGCTTCATGGCAAGTCCCTTTGGGGAGACTAACAGTACCCCGATTTTGGAACCCTTGTTATTAGAGGATCCGTCCACACAGATACTCTAAGAGTGCACTTGGTTGTCCGCGGAGGGCTCCACCTTGGGGGCAGACAGTTCCCCCTTGGTAAATTCTACTATGAAATTTGACAATACTTGGCCCTTTACCATCGTGCAAGGTTTACAGTGAATATCATGTTCTCCCAACTCCACTGCCCATTTTGACATTCTCCGGGAGAGGTCCGCCTTTCTC